CTGAATTTTCCTCGCCGTGTTTTTGTATTCTTTTCTTATAAATCATGTTTATGGTCACATTCTTTACGACCGTTCTGTCAAAGTCAAACGGAAGTAATATTTCATGTGTTTTATAGTTAAATAAAATGTTCTTTATTCTTGTTGTTTGGGCAGCGAAATTTGCAAAATATGTAAAAGGACAAACTGTCAGGAGAAAAGGTTCAGTTTAAACCTTCTAAAAGAAGAACGAATGATCGGCAGTCATAGAAATTAACCTCCAACTACTCCGATGATCCTCAATAACTGTTTGTAATCAATTCATCAAACTTAAAGAGTCACATTTGTCAGATAACGCGTGGTGACTCTTCTCTGCTTCTTGCTTCTAAAAAAAAAAAAGTCTCAGCCCAGTAAAACATCGGGAGGTTCCACATTCTTTTACGGGTCTCGGCCTCCGTTCAAGTCGAGCGCTTTCGCCGTGCACCCGGTCTGACTTACAGAGCACAGCTGGTCTCTTTGACCCTCGTGTCGTTTCCCGCTTCTCTCCCAGCGGTCAACGCTCTCAAACGGCTTCAGGAAGTCCTGAAACGCGCGGCCGATCGATCATCTGGACTTTTTTTTTTGTTTTTTGTTTTTACCCTTTTGACCGTCTTTCTCTTGGCTTCTTATGATGATTCTGATCCACTGACAGTGTTTCCCCGACCATTATAAAAGGTTGCAATTAAAAGTGTAGTGCAGACTGTTGACCACCAGGCGGAGCTGAGGGACCAGCTCAACGGTACCTTTTGGTCGTTCTTCTCCTTTCTCCTCAGATGGATCAGCTGTCGGACGAGGAGGTGGAGGTCAAGGGGGAAGAGGAGGAGGAAGAGGAGGATAGCGATAAGGAGGACCAGGACCTGGATAAGATGTTTGGAGCCTGGCTGGGAGAGTTGGACAAACTCACGCAGGTACACAAAGTAAGCGAGGTCCGGCGCTGATCTGCACGTCGCACAGGACTTCCCCCTGGGTCCGGGTTAAAAGTTTATTACCCTGTGTGTCTGCTCAGAGTCTGGATGAAAGTCGCCCGGAGGAACCGCCTCAGCGGAAAGCTCCCCTCAGGCAAGACACCAACATGGCCAACTTCTCCTACAGGTTCTCCATCTACAACATCAACGGTCAGACACCTTTTGAAAAGCGTTTCTCCCCCCCCCCTCCTGCCGTGTCGTGGTCCTCTCTCTTCTCACGCGTCAATGTGTCCACGTCTGCAGAGGCGCTGAATCAGGGCGAGAACGTGGACCTGGACGCTCTCATGGCAGACCTCTGCTCCATCGAACAGGAGCTCGGCACCGTCAACGCCAAGCCCAACAGCGCCGGCGGCATGGCTCGCCTGGGCCTGACCGACGCCAAGGTGCGTGCGCCCACGCGCCCGTGCATGACCGCCTGGTGGAGCGATGGTTCTAACCGGGGTCCTTCTCTCCGGCTCCAGGTCCGTCAGAAGCCTCCAGCCGGGCGTAGTAGCCGGCAGCTGCCAGCAGCAGGAGCAGGAGGAGGCGGCGGCGGCGCTGGCGGTGGCAGTAACAGCGTTGGCGGTGGCGGGGGCAGCAGCGGGGCGAGCAGCGGCAGCAGCAGCGCTAGGGCGTCGCCGGCTGGCACCATCAGAGTTCCCGCAGAGCATCATGGGAGAGCCGCACTGGCTTCCAACTTCAGTCTCGATGACATCACCGCCCAGCTGGAGAAGGTGCGTGGATTCGTTTCGTCGATGAGGTTTTGTGACCATTTTATATTATTTCTGTAACATTGTTCAATTTCTCAAACCGAAAAAGTTGCGTAGAACCGTGGCGACCCAGAAGTGTGTCCGTCACACCACTTAACCCTCCGCCCTCCCCCCCCCTCCCCTACCAGGCGTCTCTAAGTATGGATGAAGCTGCTCGTCAGACCTCCTCACACTCCCTTACCTCCGCCTCCTCCTATTCGTCCGCCACCATGCGGCGGCCCGGCTCGTCTCAGCGGCACCACCGACGCACCGGGTCCGTCGGCACGGTCAGCGAGCACGAGGTGATCCGTCTTTTTCTCATTTTCATGGTTGAGGAATATAAACCTCCATCCATCTCATCCGCCTCTCTCTCTCTCTCTCTCTAGGCACGTTCAATCGTTCACTCCTCCCGCTCCTCCGCCACCTCGGCGTCCGGCGCTTCTGTTAACTCCGCCTCCTCCATGGACTCGTTGGACAGCGTCCTTTGCTCCGACGAACCGGAGGGTCAGCAAGCGGCGGGTCCGCCCTCGGCCTCAAGAGCCGCTCCGGGTCACCCCCACATGGAGGTACAGAACCCATGATCAGGGATGCACATCGATGAGCGATTCATCCCGTAGCGCAGTGATGTCATGAGCTGCTATGGTTAGCTAGCTACTGGACCTCCCCAGATGGCATAAAATAAAGCAGAACCTTATAGGATTAAAAAGGTAAAATATTCCGTGTGCAACGTCTTTTAAAGTCCCACTTTCCCAGTTCTATGAATCCGTAAACGAGTTGTGTTGTTTCTCAGGGCTGCTGATCAGGAACAGATCTCCCTTCTTGAGTTTCTTTTAGCAGTGCAGGTTTTGGGTTCTCAGTATTTTTAGTGCTGGCTTTTCCTGTGTCTTCAGGCTGTTTCTTTCGTTCTTTTTAGATAAAAAAAAAGAGAACTCTGTTATTTTGTCCCAGAAGACGGTGAAAGGAAAATCCTGCTCATATGCTTTCCTGAATTACATGCCTAGTCAGATGGGAACAATTTGCTCCCTTGTGAGCGGAATAAAATGCCAAAAGGAGCTCGTAACAGCTTTAGTCTTATTTTTTTTAACCATTTCACAAGAGATTTTGTATTTATTTTTAGCATTCATACCCCAATCCCTCCTTTGTGTCTGACCCTGGTGGCTGCTAGGGGCATTTAGCCCAAAGCCGCTGTGGTGTTAACGTTGCGCAACCCAAACCAGAAAAGCAAATGAGCTGCCCAGTGAGAAGGAAACTGGGTTACAGCTCTAAACGCATCCAGTGCACAGACACCACAGAAAAAGAATAAAATCAGAATAATGAGACAAGAGGCCCGAGTGAGTCAGCAAATGACCGTAGAGGATGAAACAAACAAAGGGGAGGCGATGATGAAGACTGACGGCGTGAAGCAAAGTGTGACACAGAGACAGGAGAGAGAGGAATAAATAAGAGAAGGAGGATGCTATGTTGAAAAAAAAATTGAAATATATTAGGTCTATTTTAGGTAAAAAAAATTCATTGATATAAAGTAAAAAATATTTTGAAAATTGTCACGGAAAAAATGTTTTTTAAGAAAAATGTCATGTCGGATATTGTCATGGAAACAATATATATATTAGGTCAGAAATGTCAAAAATTGTCATGAAAAAAACATTTTTGGTCAAAAAATATAATAAAAACAAATAAAAAAATATTAGGTCAAAATGTTTTAAAAAACAAGTTGAAAAACATTTGTTTCGGAAAAAATGAAAAATTGTTCAAAAATGTCATGGAAATAAAAGCGAAAAATGTGATATTATGAAAACTGAAAAAAGTCAAAAAAATATTAGGCGGAATAAAATTTAAACGTATTTTTTTTTAAAGTAAAAATATGTTCTGAAAACTGTCATGGAAAAAAAACAATTATTTGATCAAAAAATGGTTTGATAAATTATTTGATCAAAAAATGGTTTGGAAAATATTATATATAAACATTTCATGAAAAAATATAAAAAGCGAAGGAGGAAGGAAACAAAAGTAAACGGATAAGACGAAGCGCTGTCTCATTAGTGGGACTAGAAGTGGAACTACTAAGTGTCCACATCTACTCTGGTCATTGGTCGTCCCTGACGTCATCCGGACCTTTCTCGCGAACAGGCCCACAGGGTTGACCCGACTCGTCCCATAGTCGCCCTCATCCTGCGTATGAACAATGTGGCGCTCAGGAAAGGTGCTTTGATGAACACGCTGGAGGCTTTAACTGCTAGAAGTTCAGCCCGGCGAGAGCAGAGCGAGGTAACCAGGGCAACCCTTCTGCTGAATCGTCCTTATTGAAATGACCCCAGAGGGCGGGTAGAAGCTAAAGTAGGTCAAGCGCTTGATCCAAAGAGAACTCTCAGCCGGCGATGTCATCACGTCTGCAGAGTGTCGCTGGTCAAACTCCCTCAGCTCCTCCAATCGCTCATTATTAGATACATTCATTATTGATTAGCATGCAGAGCCACCTAAGTTGTCCCCACGGTGGTTAAGTAGAATAATAATTGGATTACATTAGAAACAAAAAAGTTGTTTTCATTAAAATGATCTGACTACCTGAAATGGTGGAGGCATATTGATCATGTGCAAACTATGATTACAGCGGCGTATTTCTATTAACCTTTAACCTACTCAACATATAAGCAAGTATCAGTGAAATCAGCTTGGAAGCAAAATCTTGACCTGCAGGTTTAAAAAAGAATTAGACAATTGTTTATCAGACAGATCATTTAAAATGACGACAAGAAATGATGAATACGAAAATACACATATACACTCTGTCCTCATTGATATGTCCCGGTGGGGATCAACACACACACACACACACACACACACACACAGCCAAGCTCTGTGTGTGTGTGTGCGTGTGTTCGACCTAAATATTATTTTTAATCTGTGGCAATGAAGAGCAAACTAATGCTTTCGATAAATGGTTTCTAGAGATTGAAGTACACACACACACACACACGCACACACACACACACAAATTGCACACTGCAAACTCACAAGATTATCAAAGATTTGTCTGATATAAAGGAACAGAATATAAAGCTGATCATATAAGCAATCTGCGGCTGGACTACGGTCTTGAAGGAGTAAAATGTGTGACTCTTTCAACCCTGCGGCTCAGAGCTCTCCTTCATCCCAGTACAGAGCGCGGCCCCCACTGGGGCCCTATGAGGGATCCCAGTCTGCCCAGTGGAAACCTGCTGGGGAGGGATTATGTAAAGCCCACTGAGCCACGTTTTATCTCATTCGCCTCCTCAGGAAATGTGATTAATATAGTTAATCTACCAGATTTATAATTAATAGAATGTGTTGCCCTTCATCCTCCTACCAGCAGTAGTGACTGTATTCTTGTTTTGACCTTTTACCTTCTAGAGCCGTCTTCTTCACAGGTTTTCTATTTCTGCTCACAGCTTTCTGCTAAACGGCCTCATCCAGCTCACCGGGTCTCTCTCTCTCTCTCTCTCTTTAAAGCACTCCTATCTGGACAGGGAAACCTCTCTGATTCTGAGAAACATAGCGGGGAAACCCTGCCACCTGCTGACCAAGGTGATCCCCCCCCCCCCCTTCTCTCCTCTTCTTACATGGCTGCACCCCTGCACCCCCCCCCCCCCCTCCTTTTGGATTCCAATGCATGAAGCAAAGTCCCAGCATGCACTTTTATCCACCTTCCTCCTCTGCTTCCTCTTCCTCTGTGGTGTTGAAGAGGAGGTGTGTGTGTGTGTGTCTGTGTGTGTGTGTCCCTCGGTGAAATGCACATGTGTCACGTGATCATGGTTTGGCTGCAGTAGCCGGTGTGTCCCCGAGCTTCACACAGGACAATCGATGGCAGCCGTTTAAAAATCTGAAAGAACACAAAGTCATCACATGAAGCTGCTTCTAGCTGATGAATAAGCGAAAAGGGTAGAAAATTATATGCTCTTCCTGTGTCATCAACATGTGAAGTGTCATCCAACGAACACCACGACAAAGAGAAACCAAACACTAGTGCTCACTTCTCACCGTGAAGCTCTGTGACTCCCACCGTCGCCATGGTCACCGCTGCATTTGCATTCTTCTCCTTCTTGCTCGTCCCCGTTTTCTGTCCAGCGAAGACGAGAGCTTTTTCCTAAGCATGAAGGTTTGTTTTTGGGCCGAGGAAAAGCGTGTGCGTGGCGTGTGCGCGGCGTGTGCGCGGCGTGGTATGTGTGAGCGTCACAGTCAGTCCTCCCCCTTGGACGCGTTCGCTCTGACAGCAGGAGAACACAGGTTCTGTGCTGTCGGTGAGCGTCCTCCACTGGGTGATCCCTAATGTTCGGGAGCGATGTTGGATTCGCTCGCTCGTGTTTTATGAAGCGGCAGGTGAGTAGCGAGACGCCGCGCTTCCTGCTGACTCCGGGGGGAACAACCTCCGATAAGAAACAAAATGTGCACATTTCGGTTAATAATTTGGGAGAATGTACACAAAAACACTACAGATGTGCTCAGATTGATGGCTCTGGACAACATGTGACGTGTGTGTGTGTGGGCGCATTAGATGGAGGGTAAGTAAGCAGGCTTTATTCTGATTGGATCAGCGATGTTGTGATTTGATTGGATGACAAAGGAGATGAGGCGGTTTGATTGGATGTTGGAGGAATGTGCCAGTTCTGCAGGGATAATCTTCTTTGGGGCAGAGAGGGTGATTCCCTGTAGAATCAAGTATACAAACACGTGCAGTGAACACACACACACACACCAGCTGGCTGCCAACGAGCTGTCACGTTTGCAGTTGTTGGCTTTTGCCGTTCTTGTAATGTGCTCGTTTTGGGTTTCAGAACCCAAGCAGACGTCTCTTATCTCAGTGGGACGACGTAGCAGACGTCTCTTAGCTCAGTGTGACGACGTAGCAGACGTCTCTTAGCTCAGTGTGACGACGTAGCAGACGTCTCTTATCTCAGTGTGACGACGTAGCAGACGTCTCTTAGCTCAGTGTGACGACGTAGCAGACGTCTCTTAGCTCCGTGTGACGACGTAGCAGACGTCTCTCTTAACGCTATGTGTGATGTAATCCTCGAGCGTTGTCGTTGTACTCGGCAGACATTTCTTTTCCCTAGCGGATTGAACACTATTTGCTTTTTGGTAACACAAATCAGTCAAGGCCCCAGTCGGTCCAAATTATTGAGCTATTTATTCCAGAGCAGCTGTTGCTGGCAAATGCAGCTGTTCCAGCTGTGGAGCTTAGATGCCCCAACATTTCTCTGTGTTTCCTTCTTGCACTCATTTGGGCCTCAATGGTAGAAAACGCTCCAAAAATAACCTGCTTTGCTTTAAATTGTGGCCTGAGATTAGTCTGAGGGGCCCCTGAGATTCCACGCAGATTACGGGAGTGGGGGGGGGGTCTAATTCCTGCAGCAGCGATTTGGTTCAGGGTGCAGTTTTTATGCGCTGGACCTCCTGTGTGTGTGTGTGTGTGTGTGTGTGTGCTCTCTGTGTCAGTAGCACTCAGTAGTAAGTATTTTAGGGGCTCTTTAATGTAGGTCAACTGGAGATCCGCGACATGGGGGAGGCAACGTTTATGCTGCAAGATGCAAAATGAGGGCGGCGAGCGGCGAGGGACAACCTCGCCGTGCAAAAAGCAAACGGCTGAACAACATTGTTAGTGAAGCTGAGCAATTTTCAATGCCAGTAACGACAGATTTGGGCTTAATGGGTGTTAAGGATTTTCATATATAAAAGGGTTCTAATTGGTTGACTGAAGGGAAACAAGGATTTGTTTTTAACCGATAATCCCCTTAAATTGAACGAATGAATTAATCATCGCCTCACATTCGCGCTAACGTACATAAGGCACCTTGTGTAAGAGATTTGTTTCCATTGTGGGTCTGAATGAAAGCGTGGTTACAGTAATGAGAGCTGAAGACGGGGGGGTCGTGGTTCTGATGGCGGCGGTGATGATGATGATGATGACGATGATGATCGCTGACGGGCCTCAGCCAGCTGCTTCAAGCTGTTGTGAGGAACGCCGTGTCAGTTAGCATCACAGCGCTAATGGACGGCGTTTGATGCGTCCTCCGCTACCTGAAGCATCTCGTTGTGATGCGCTTTAATATGCATAGAAGTCGTTATGCAACAGTTGTTCTTTCAGTCGGAGGCCCAAAAGGATCATGTGTTATGCAACTATTCTGTCAAATGTAATCTTCTCTTCTTCTTTTGCTCTGTGTGTCATTTAGCTCAAACAAGCGTCATGTAAATGTATGTTAGTGGCCGCGCTTTAATTTCTGCTAATTGATAGATTTATATAATGTTATTTTTCTGAATTTTTCTGAATTTGACACAATATCTTGGTGACCCACTGGGCGCTACGCGATGTCACGTACGATTAAATCCTTGTTACATTTGTCCTATTTATTTGTATCTAATTATCTAATGTGCGTCAAAGATTTACCCTGCTTATGTAAATTATATCACAATATATAATCTGCTTCCATTTCCCCCCCCCCCTCCGATTATTATTATTATTCGCACTTAATTCTCACTCGTTTTCTACTCTGCTGCTTTTAATGTAAATCCTCAGACGCTAAACCAGCCAACGAAAACATAGGCTCGTCATTACGAAGCTGTTTATGAGCTTACGCTTCCACACTGTGTGTGTGCGTGTGTGTGCGTGTGTGTGTGTGCGTGTGTGTGTGCGCGCATCATGGGGGTTTTGGGGGGCGCCGATAAAGAGATTGGCCGTTAATCTCCTCTTCCTCATCCTCCTCCATCTTCACTTCATTCTGCCCTTTCGCTCATTCACAATATGGATTGTGTGTGTGTGTGTGTGTGTGTGTGTGTCATATTCATATAAAAATGTGAAACTAAGAGTGCGATGAAAACAAGGAGGGAGGGGGGGTTAAGACTGTGGAGCTCGGGGAAGAAGGGTGATGGAAGGTGAAGGGGGGGGGGGGCTGAGATAAAGAGATCAGTGCCTCTGCATGTGTGTTGGCACAGCAAAAAAAAACGAAGGTCCCCTCCCCCCGCCGTCCATCCCCCTCTCTTCCTCGCTCCTCCTCTCATTCCCTCCATGTCGCTCGGCCGGGGCGGACGTGGGCGGACGAGGGGGGACGAGTGGGGACGAGTGGGGACGGGGCAGAGGACTGATCAGCCACCAGGCGATCGGTCAGCGGCTTTGATCGATTAGTCAGTCAGTCAGCGGAGACGTAGATTAGCTGCAGCTCTCGGGAGGCGCTTTGTCTCCCGTCACTCTTCCTCCAGTCGTTCTTGCTCCTCCACACTTTTTTGGGGGGATTCCAGGCCGTCTGACTCCGCTCCATCCTGCTCCATCTCCTCCCCCCTCCCTCCACACTCGGTTCTTCTTCTCGTCCGACGCGCTGGGCTCCATCGCTCCGCCCGAGGGCCGAGTGGCCGGCTTGTCGCTGCAGAATCGAAGCGGAGCATCTCGAGGAGACCGGACTTTGTATTTGTTCCCAGTGTGTGTGTGTGTGTGTGTGTTTGGATAATCCTTAAGAGAGACAATGACCATCTACCAGCATGCAGCATCAGAGGGATAATCCGGTCTTATTCCCTTGCGGCCCCAGTAATACGTAGATGATGACGACGACGATGATGATGATGAAGAGGGGGAGCAGGTCTTGCTCTGCCGACCCGACTTGTCCGATGATTTCTCTCAGTTTGTGCCCCCGAGCTGCTGTTTGGGGAGAATAATCGCTGCTTTCTTATTTTAGCTCCCCCTGAGCGCGGTACGTTTCCACGGTAACGGTGTGCACAACCAGCCGGCCGAGGACTTGGTCAAAACTTTTCTGGACTGGATTTTTGTAGTTGTGCCGGAGACACAAGTGTTGTTTGTTTGAGAGAAATCGCCTGAAAGTTAAAAAAAAACTCAAAATGAATTCCTGCTGGAGGAACCAGGTGAGCGGCCGCTGCATGAAGGACTCGCGTTATGCAGAGTGCGACGTTAATGCCGCCGGTTTGAACTGACCGACAAGAGTGGATTGTCTGTTGCTGTCATCAACGTGTGCGTCCGTGTGTGTGTGTGTGTGTGTGTGCAGGAGGAACAGGCGGCCAAGCTGAAGGCCGACAATATCCGAGTCGCCCTGGAGAAGATCAAGGAGGCGCAGGTCAAAAAGGTAACTGGTGCTACGGAGGTGTGTGCGTGTGTGTGTGTGTGTGTGTGTGTGTGTGTGTGTGTGTGTCCATATCTATTATGTGTACAGTGGACTCCGCTTTCTGGGTCAGGTCAGTGTTGGTCCACATGGAAGGCTCTGGTCAATAACAGCTGGGGTCATCACACACACACAGCACTCAGCATAATGACCGCTGCAAGTTAAATCCCAATCCGACGCACACGCACTGACGCACACGCACACGCAGAGAGAGCGAGGGAGATTAACGAGCATGATTCATTACACTCTGAGACGGAGCACCAGCTTCCTGTCAGCGGGTCACGTGTTAAAATATTAAAGGCCAAAAGCATGAAGGCTTTTTAAAGGTTTGTGTACATCTAATAACAACAACAATAGTTGGAACGTTTGAAATACACAAAGTAAACAACAATACAATAACAGACTGTAGCACACTGCTGTACTGGGACGCCATATTGTGTATTATTAATTATTGTACAAGCCAAACTACTTCAACACACCTGGTGCCATGGCAACGGCCGCAATGAATAAGGCCAAGTGACGTGATTCATGGACTCAATGCTCCATAGATTCAATGCTTCATGGACTCAATGCTTCATAGATTCAATGCTTCATGGACTCAATGCTTCATAGATTCAATGCTTCATTGACTCAATGCTTCATTGACTCAATGCTTCATGGACTCAATGCTTCATAGATTCAATGCTTCATGGACTCAATGCTTCATAGATTCAATGCTTCATTGACTCAATGCTTCATGGATTCAATGATTCATGGATTCAATGATTCAGGGACTCAATGATTCAGGGACTCAATGATTCAGGGACTCAATGCTCTATGGACTCGATGCTTCATAGACTCGATGCTTCATGGACTCGATGCTCCATGGATTCGATGCTTCATGGACTCAATGCTACATGGACTCAATGCTTCATGGACTCATGCTTCATTGACTCAATGCTTCATAGATTCAATGACTCAATGATTGACGGACTCGATGATTCATGGACTCGATGCTTTTAGTTAAAGCAGATGCACAGGAGTCGGTTAAAGAAGTGAGAATAATTACATTGTGTTTTCTCTCTCGGCAGCTGGTGATTCGCGTTCATCTGTCCGACGAGAGCTCAAAGACGATGATGGTGGACGAGAGACAAACCGTGAGACAGGTACGGCTCTTTGACTCCTCCCACTGCACACGGCGGCCACAGGGACATGAGTACAAGTGTTAGTAGCTGCAGTACTAGGCATCATGAACAGCAATACTGGCACCACTAGTAGTAGTATTACTACCATTGTTTAAAGAAGTAATGGAATAGCAGCAATACTTTGTCTCCCGTCCTGCAGGTTTTGGACAGTTTGCTGGAGAAATCCCACTGTGGTTACAGTCCGGACTGGTCACTGGTGGAAACCATCAACGAGCTGCAGATGGGTGCGTGAACACACACACACACACACACACACGCATGGTAATGCAATGATACCTGCAGCACTGAGCCTGTTTTACACAGCATTACAAGCTTAGACAGTAAATCCTCCTTCGGCTGATTAAGTTCATTACTACCACGACCTTTCCCACATATCCAGGTGTGTGTGTGTGTGTGTGTGTGTGTGTGACATCATTACTGAGCACATTGGTCTGCAACATGGTGCCCAGCAGCAACTATCAGCACAGATATTCAGCCACATAGATGTGAACACGCACACGTGTGTTATTGTAGGTCCGGTGCACTGATGCGTGTGATCTAACCTACAACCTCAGGGCTTCTGCTGTGCTGAAGAGAGAGGGAGGAGCGGGGAGGGGGGCGGATCCATATCCGTTCACACACCAGCACCACCTGCTGAGTGCCCTTTGGCAAGGCACTGACTTCCTGTCGAATCCTAACCTCTGACCTCACTGCTTCCCTACAGGAAATAACAACAGAATAATTCTCAAACCCCAAACTTTAGACGGTTTAAAGCGTTTACTGATCCAACGGAGGTTTCTCATTGGCTCCGAGCAGAGCGGATCTTCGAGGACCACGAGAACCTGGTGGAGAACCTGCAGAACTGGACCAGAGACAGCCAGAACCGCCTGATGTTCACTGAGCGCATTGAGAAGTACGCTCTGTTCAAGAACCCCCAGGTGAGCTCCACCAGCACCGCTTCCCCCCCCCCACGGTGCTCCACCTGCAGCTCCTCACTTAATCACCACGGAGGTTTTTCATTTCGTTTGTACCACTAACCAAAGCTCTGACGCTTCTCTCCACACGCCGCCTGCTGCAGAACTATTTGCTGGGGCGGAAGGAGACGTGTGAGATGGCTGAGAGGAACAAAGAGGCTCTGTTAGAGGTTAGTCTGTTTCCTCCTCTTCCTCAAACGCATCTTCAGCCCGACTGCAGAACCAGAGGGAAGTCTCGCTCATTGTGGGGGTGAAGGAACCGTCTCACCGCTTCAACGTTCAACTGAACGGAGCAATCAACAAGAACCTTGTGTGTCTGTGTGTGTGTGTGTGTGTGTGTGTGTGTCTGTGTGGGGGGGTCAGGAGTGTTTCGGCGGCAGCACTGTGTCCGTCCCCGAGATGGAGGGGGTGTTGTGGCTGAAGGAGGATGGCAAGAAGTCGTGGAAGAAGCGCTACTTCCTGCTGAGGGCGTCTGGCATCTACTACGTGCCCAAGGGAAAGGCCAAGGTGTGTGTCCGTGTGTGTGTGTGTGTGTGTGTGTGTCCGTGTGTGTGCGTGTACATGTGCAGACGGGGAGGGGGGAGCACCGGGGTTAAACCTGATGGTGTTTTGTGGTTGTGCAGGCCTCCAGAGACCTGGTGTGTTTTCTCCAGCTGGATCACGTGAACGTTTACCACGGACAGGACTACAAGAGCAAGTACAAGGCTCCCACCGACTACTGCATGGTGCTGAAGGTACACAAACGCACACACACACAGGCGTGGTGGGGTTCAAGTCACCGCTCGTCTGGTTTGTGGCACCTCAGTCCCCTTGTGCCACCTACGGGTCGAACACAGCAATTACACCTATTTCAGGTTTCATTTTGTTGCAGATAAGCTGCACTTTATCGTCCAATAATGTAACAGTTCGAGGGTGTTGTTACCTGAAACCCTCAAACTGTTACATTATTGCATTATTACATGAAGAAACTGTTACATTATTGCATTATTGCATGAAGAAACTGTTAACATTATTGTTACATTATTGAAGATAAAGTGCCTTGTTGCTTTTATAATACGGTTACCAGCAAAATTCTAAATGTTAAGTAAATACTGCCTTTCAGCACAAAATGGTATTAGCCACCAAACGTTGTGTGTCGCATTTCAGTGGTCTAGAGAAAATCGGGTCTCCTTGCAAGATCTCGCAGCGTCTCATTCATTCACATCGCTCATGACGTCCCCCTTAATTGTGCGGGTGCGAAAGCTCGCATTGCCCCAGACCGATCAAACCGATCATTTGTGGGATTTCCAGGTCGCCACCGAGCTAAAAACTGAAATGACAGCAGTGGCACAACGGTGGCGCAAAATCTAACAATTCGTACATTGATGTGTTTTGTGACGGGAGGTGAGTGATTAGTACTCGTGGTGCTTTTAAAAGGAGTAGTTCTAAAAATCACAGGTATTGTAATTTAGTAAAAACAAATAAAGCAGCAACACAAAAGGCAACAAGTCAAAGTAGGCTATGATATTGAAAAAGTGTGTGTGTGTGTGTGTGTGTGTGTGTGTGTGTGTAGCATCCTCAGATCCAGAAGAAGTCTCAGTACATCAAGTATCTCTGCTGTGACGATGTCAGGACCCTCCAGCAGTGGATCAACAGTATTCGAATCGCCAAGGTAAAAGCACTTCCTGTTGTAGGACACACGTTTTGCTGCATATTCGTAAATGCCTGTTGTGTGTGTGTGTGTGTGTGTGTGTGTGTGTGTGTGTGCGCGCGCCTCTCAGTACGGGAAGCAGCTGTACATCAACTTCCAGGAGGCCATGAGGAGGACGGAGGCGGCCTACGATTGGTCCTCCCTTTCTTCCTCCTCCATCAAGTCAGGATCCAGCTCCAGCCTTCCAGGTCCGTCCGACGTTCCCTTGTTAAGATGTTTGTTTTCGCACGTTGTTCTAAAGCGGCTCAGATAAACCACATTTTTACATTTTTAATAATACCCGTGAATTTATCAAATAAAATTGGCATCAAAGAGCTCAACAAAACTAACTTTTGCGTGCGCGTCCTCGCCACAGAGTCCCAGTCCAACCACTCCAGCCAATCGGACAGCGGCGTGTCGGAGATGACGTCGTCGGGCCACACCCGCTCCCAGAGCGCCGTCAGCTCCATCTTCTCCGACGCCTGGAGGAGGGGAACGCAGGGAGAGGTGCGAACACACTCGAACGCCCTCGCGTCCCGTCACTGCATTTCCCATGCCCCCCCCGCTAAACCCCCCCTCCCCTCTGCTTCCCTGCCAGCGGTCAAAGGTGAAGGGACGAATGCCGCTTCCTCTTTGTGCAGGAGGAGGGCGTGGAGGTTAGACAGGAAGTGACGTAAACCGGCATGTTGGCGGTTGTGGCTGCAGCTTTTTAAGACATGGGGGGTCGGGGGGGGGGCTAGCGTCAGCTGATGCTGTGAGGTCACCATGCTTCACGCTGGAGCTCCAACTGCGCTGAAAAATGATTTATTCACATCTTCACCTCAGCTGATGATCTGCATATTACTGCACAGATGATAAGAATCCATCAAGCTCCTAAACTCTTTACTTATGTACCCGTATATTCCTGTTTTTAAAGGGCTGCAGCTCAATTGGTTCTAACCGCTCGGTGTGATGGAATGTCCTGTTTAACGCGTTTGGGACCAGAGCAGAGTAACGTTTTAGATCCAGGAGAACATCAAACACACTTCATCGGGTCTCCTTGTAGTGGCGCACTGATAAACCTAACAACCGTCGTCACGGTGATCCTCGCGGGACACTTTTAGTGAGCTGTGTGTGGGGGATTGTTGTGCGACCACCTGCGTCTTGTCCGGGATTGTTTGCCTTCAGAGACGTGACAACGCTTTTCTCTCTTTTTCTGTCACCTGATTTCATGCACCTTCTCCAGATGATGAGGATGGACTCCATCAGTAGGCCCATCCCGGTCCAGATCCTCTCCCCCCAGCCCCCGAGCTCCCGGACCAGCTACACCGACGGCCTCGTCCCCTCCGACGACTCCTCCCCGTCACCG